TCCCTCACCATTGATGAAAGATGTGCAAAAAGAAAGACATTCAAACTGGCGTAGGGCTCAAGAAAATCAAGATAAGGATAATATGATGAAAGTTCTTTCTGGCTTTTTCCGAACTGTGTGAAAATTTGGACAAACGATACCGTGAAACCTATGTACCAACGCCCAAAACAGCCCGAAATTTGATAAATGGCAGGGGCGGATCCAGGATTATGAAGAAGGGGTGTGCGTGCGTGCGTGCGTGCGTGTGTGTGCGTGTTCATAGATCATGAAGTCCAAAGGTTAGGGGGAAATGCTCCCTAAGGAAATGTTTTCAGGGACCCCCCCCTCTCTCTCTCTCTCTCAGGAACCGCCCCAGAAGACAGTGGTTGTTGTACCAAAATGTTCAAGTTTTAAACTGGCCCAGCTACAGCCCAGATCTGAACCCTATTGATAATGCGTGGGGATATTGGTTATATTGAGGATATGAAGAAAGAAGTGGTCGAGTATTGGGGTACGCTGTCACACGATTTCCAACAAACTTTGATCGGTTGTGTACCTAGGCACATTCAGTCGTGTATTGCAGGGCAAGGAGCTCTCACAAAGTACTGAAAAGACACATTGACTGTAGGAGAATCATATCTCAACATATTCATTTAAGTAAACTTCTATAGTTTATATACATGTATTAGATATTTGCCGAAACAACTTTCTCAATAATTTCTGGGAATACTATGCTTAATTTGTGCTGCCGTTATGAGGTGAAAGGTAGGACACCAGTCTAAGCGGTTGGGAACCCACACACGTCAACATTACCACTCAGTGAAGCCGTGAGGCAATCGATGGCGTCATTGCGAATGTTTGTCATACATGGTTGTTCCCTCTTGCTTTTGTTTACCGATCAGCTCTTTTGGATTCCCTTGCCATTGTCCCACTGGAGAGTGATGAGGCGAACGTGACGGCAAGGGAAACACGTTAGTGTTATTCACATTCACATTTAATGTTTTGATTGTATATTTTTGAAAACATCTCCAACTTTACCTGAGCAAAGACATTCCTTCCCAAACTCAGAATGGAACCCAGGAAATGGTCTCAAAAACTCAACCTGATCTCGGAGATGGTACGGTGTTCTCCATGTTTTTCATGCAACTTATGCTGCACGTGCTGTTCACAAGGACCAGCCCTATAAAATGCACCCCAAACCTGGTTGAAACATTTACATTACAACGTCAGCAGGATGCTGCGACTCACGACAGCTCAGAGGAATCAGGCGCTAGGAAGACTTGAAGCTGGCCCCACTGCACAAGCCGTTGTAAATCACTTCCAGGTCAACTTTCGGACCATCTACAGGCTGCAGCAACGTTTCCGGGCCACCAACACCACAAATAATCGTCCCCGTACTGGCAGACGACAAGACCCAACACTGCCGCTGTTACAGGTCATTGGCTCCCTCCCTCTGCAAGCCGTATGCGTTCTGCTGTTTATTTTGTTGACAGTTACATAGAGAGATTCTTTAATACAAATGCATAAAATCGGTGATTTACAATGTGATTAGGTTGTCTGACAAAACATCCACTTGCACAGTTTGAGATCGATTGGGTCATTGGATGAAGAGATATTTACAAAAAACCGGGTCCACATGCAAACTATACACGTGACTACAGCAGAACGGTGTCAACATTATGCAGTGGCCAGCCCTTAGTCCTGATTTAAACCCAATTGAACATCTTTGGAATGAAATTCAGAGGAGACTGAATAATGTCTTACCAAGGCCGAACACAGCCGATTTATTGCGCCAGGCCTTTCTCAGAGTGTGGTTCCATGTGCCAATGGCCTTCATCAATCGATTGGTGCACTTCATGCATAGACGCTGTGCTGCAGTTATTGCCGGTCGTGGTGGTCACACTACATATTGAAGTCAAGAGTCTGTATGGACTGCACACGTTCACGTAATGTCTTGAACTTCTGAGTTATTCATTGATGTGTCAAGATATTGTACACAAAAAATGTTTTTGATCCGCTCATTATGTCCATTCCTGTAATGATTTGATTACAGTGCCTATCTCATTTTGAATTCGTACTGACGTTTTTTTTGCTGCTGAGTATACTTAACGCTGAGCTGTCATGGTGCTTTTAACGTTTACCCACGGCGTCTTGTTCTTCCAGCTGATTCCCCCCAAACTATTTGTCGAGCACCACGGAATGCCTGGACTTCACACGCGGAGGTACGTGACATTCTAGTATAGGGGATGGCGACAATACAGGTCTTTCATCTTTGTGATGACGACAGAATGGATTTTCTTCTTTCAAGATCACACGACGTCGTCAAAGAGCTGCCAGCGCCTAATTCTCTGTGACCTGTGGACATTTTCAGGAGTCTGGCGACAAGCACATAGTGCACTCACCCTGGGATTGTCTTACCACGTGAGCCATTGCAACTGACGATGTACGCCGTCAGAAAACAATATTCTGGTGTTATGTGCGTAAGTACTGGTTTTTCAAATCCAAATCAAATCAAATCAAATTAGACATTTGTATAGCGCTATATATCCAGAGTCCTGCTCATGTGCGCTTAGTCAAATGCTCGTTTGAAGAGAATGGTTTAACTTTTGAGACAAGATCGGAAACTGTTGATATTTTCCGATTTTTTTACATTTTCAGGTAATCCATTCAAGAGTACAGCACCCGCTCTGCTAATTGTTCTGTCCCCGTATGTTGTGGTTCGGACAGATGGAACATCTAAGCTTTGCTGACTAGCCGATCTGAGTGACCTTCCAGGCTTGTGAAGGTTGACTAGTTCCTGGAGATAGAATGGAGCAAGCCCATTAATGGACTTGCAAACAAACACAAGTAGTTTGAATACAACTCTGTCTTTTACAGGGAGCCAGTCCTTCAGGACGGGTGTTATGTGCACATACATATGTGTGCGTGTTATGAACCTGGCAGCTGTGTTTTGAACACGCTGTAACTTGTCCGTGTACTTCTGCTGAATTCCATAGAGTAGACTGTTGCAGTCGTCTAGACGTGATGTCACAATGCATGGGTTAGGCATTTTACTGATGGTGTGTCCATGTACCTGCTAATCTGTCTGATGTTCCTAAGGTGGAAATATGCAGATTTGCAGATGTTACTGACGTGATTTTCCATGCTTAATGTTGAGTCAAAGATGACACCTAGATATCGAGCACGGCTTTCTGGTTGAACAAACGCGTCTCCAATTTGAACTCCAGGGATCTTGAACTTTGATTTTGTCTGTTTGGAGCTGATGATGAGAATCTCAGTTTTGTCATCGTTCAGTTTCAGAAAATAACTGTTCATCCAACATTTGATCTCAGCTATGCAATTCGTTATTGCCTGCAGGGTATTCTGTACAGAAGATGCAGCTTGTGGCTTGAATCCGAGATATAGCTGAGTGTCATCAGCATAGAGATGATAGCTGAGATTATGGGCTCGGGCTATATCACCAACGGGTATGGTATATACAGTGAACAGGATTGGCGCAGAGGCGCAGTACCTCATGGTCTCTCCAAGGCCCTTTCTGCACCCCTCTACAGGATTGACCCACGAAAATCCGGGTTAGAATTGATTTCTGTAACCCAAACTTGTCGTGAGAGGCGACTAACAGGATCGGGTGGTCAGGATCGCTGACTTGATTGACACATGTCATCGTATCCCAATTGCGTATATGGATGCTCACGATATTGATCACTGGATTGCCTGGTCCAGACTCGATTATTTACAGACCGCCGCGTAAAACTACACTAACTCACTCTGCAGGATGTTTTGTAGCAAGCTACAAGACTACATTATTGATTGTAGCAAGCTACGAGGCTCTACAGAAATGGTTATAGGAAGACACTTGTCTCTACAGAAATGATTATAACAGGGGAACACTCCTTTTTACCTTTGTGAGAATTTGATACCAGCCCTAATGCTGACCGTGTCATGATGTATTGCGCTGTGAAGCATTTCGGGTCGGGGGTCATCTCAAAAAGGTGTTATTTTTAAAATCTTTAATCCTTGCAAAGACACGAGGGCCTGTGCCACTGAGTGGTCAGCGAACACCTTGACCACAGGTCTATTGGCTAGATATGTTGCATTGGCTGGCAACTATCACGTTCTCTTCTTACACTTGCAATTACCGTATTGATCTTAATGTACAGAAACATGAATTAAACATGTCCAAGATATTTTTATGGATTAAACTTCTTTTTTAATTTCTCTCACGACGTTTCGAGACCATTCCAGGTCCCTTCATCAGGTGATCAGTTCAGTGTTGTATAACGTGTGAGAATATCATCTTCTGTCAAAGACTGGTGCATTTTACACAAGACAGAAGAAAAATAAACGCATTCCGACAGCCTCCAGAGTCAGCCCACACCACGCATCATCACCTCAGCAAGGCATTTATTGCTCTCCTGAATCACAAACGCCTGATTCCATCTCATTGAAACGCTTTCATTAAAATAGTGGGTTCGAATCCCGGCTTGTCATGATTACTTTTCCAGGTTTGTCAGGACCATACCCTTGCTCGTGGATTGCAACGAGGTGGTAAACGTCTTCGACCTAAATTACTCCGGGTTTTGCTCCCCAAACAAGCTGAAACCTCGTGATATAACTGAAATACTGCTCAAAGTGAGTTAAACCCAACCAACTCATTCACTCGTGTAGTGCTATACTCCTAGATGATGTTTCCATAATGAATGATGCATGATAATTGATGGTCCTTGTGTAATGTCGTAATGCAAATTATGCACACAAGTGTAATGTGCGTGTACATGTGTGTTGCTCAATGTAAAGATCTTAATGCATTTGATTTGGGTTGTGTGAATGAGTGAGTTTTGTTTTACGCCGCTTTTAGAAATATGCCAGCAATTTCTGGGGACACCACTGTACCCATATTGGGCTTCACACATTGTACCCATGTTGGGAATCGAACCGGGTTTTTTTGGCGAGACGAGCGAACGCTTTAACCCCTATTTTGGGGTAAATGTGCATCAAACAATAATGATCAAAGTCCAATGTTTAGGTTCGAATAAATTTATTCATGAAGCAGTTTAATATTGAGCGTCTGAAATGCCCTTCAACATAATTAGAATTCATAGTTTAATCTGGCTATGATTGCAATGCACTCAACATTGGCACATACGGCTCAGACGATACTTAAGTGTGAAATTAACATCCGTTGGGCAGAAGTATTACCATCTTTCAACAACAGGCGTTGGAAGGCTAATACATTCCTGTCAAATCTGCAGAGTCACGCTTGACATAAAAGTTCAGATACTGACAATGAATACTGTGTCAGAAAGTTATGTTTGGGTGTTGAACTTTTGAGAAAAAGCTAAAGCCAGTAGTCTTTTTTCTAAAATGATCAATTAATTAAATAACAAACGCGCAATAACTTATATGAACTTGATATCACCACTATACGAGAGGTCCGGCCATGACCTTGGAAATGAAGTCCTCGTACTTGACGTTGCCCTCCAGATCCTCTCTCAAGTCGGTGCACTTCATGATGTCGTCCATCTGGGTGTCGGTCAGTCGGTCTCCCAGAGATGTCAGAACGTGCCTCAACTCAGCAGATGAGATAAAACCCTGGCCCTCTCTGTCGAATGTCTTGAAAGCCTCCATGAAGTCGGCGTAGGTGCCTGTGTCCTTGATCTGCATGACGGTCTGGTAGATGGGCAGGAACTCCTCCAGTTTGTAGTTCTTCTCTCCAAACCTCTCCACACCTCCGTTCTTCATGATGGTGGTCATGGTAGGGTTGAGGCCCAGACAGTACAACATGTCGCCGGTCTTGGCAGCGTCGACGGCGCCATCACGACCATCCCAGAAATCAAAAAGGTCAAACACCTCTGTGGCTTCTTCAATCTCGTCCTTGGACAATTTGATTTGTGGAGTTGCAGCCTTTGTGGGCTTTGTTGGTCTAGCTGTCTTGGATGCCTGAAACAATACATTCAATTGTACTATACTCTTTTCACAGGATTTTCTTTTCTAAGCATAAACTATTAAACACTATGTGGCAATTTTACATGCTGGCATTCTAGAAATTATATAATTATGCTGGGTTTTCTACGTTGTCCGAGAAATATCTAAGCGTTCAGTAAATAATCGAAAGTGTCTAATCTAATATTATTACATTTAGACGTGCAGTATTTCAAGCCACGGCACCAAATCTAGCCGCAATAGCATTGAAACTGGTTTAATGCAATAAAACAACCATTAGTTGGAAAATATGTTCGTGTTTGACCTATGACGATAAAAACAAATGAATCGATTTGTGTTTGTCATTGCATACAATGTCTTTGTCAAGACAAATATAAACAATATACAAATCTAGAATGTTTACTCATTATAAAGTGTAAGTTATCTATTTCGGTACTGAATCATGAACAATATGCAGCTAAGCTTCCATAACATGGACACACTGGGGGTTCAGTGCGAGATAACAAAGTTTTGAAACTCATTCCTGGTTGTTTATTAATCTTCCACGTCCAGAAGTATAAAGTTTAATCCCAATACGCCCATAAAAAGGCGTATCACCAAGTGAATCAGCACAGACGATACCAGAGTTTCATGGGCAACAGATGAATGTTTGATGTAATAATCATACAATCTGCCTACAGCGGATCTGTTGACGGATAACCGTGACAGTCCTCAGTGGCATATCAAGATCAGGGCGGATACAGCTTTTGAGAAAGGGGATGCACACTATTGAGCAAATGAGGGGTGCACACTTCATTTTCACCCGAGTTTCAATGGTCATTTAATAAACTTACACCCCGTGCACCCCTCTGATCCGCCTATGATGATCTTGTGATATCATCGAGTATTTTAAATCATCCCTTTCGACAACAGTTTCCCGTTCACAACGTAACTGACATAAATAGCTGATATCAAGGCTGTGTTTTTTCTTTTGCATTATTTCTTAACATAGCTATCTTTACCGTTGAACTTTCAGTCGAGGCGTTATTGTACAAAACAAATGTACCTGCATTTTATGGATTCCCGTATTTCTATGTTTCTTTAAATATAGAGTGAGTGAGTTAAATTTTACGCCGCTTTCAGCAATATTCAAGCTGTATGGCTGAGGTCTGTAAATAATCCAGTCTGGACCAGGCAATCCAGTGATCAACAGCATGAGCATCGATCTACGCAATTGGGAACCGATGATAATATGTGCCAACCAAGTCAGCGAGCCTGACCACCCCATCCCGTTAGTCGCCTCTTACTACAAGCATGGGTTACTGAAGATCAGTTCTAACCAGGATCTTCACGGGTCTTTAAATATAGCACGTCAGTGCAAAATAATACCCACTATCATCAGAAACAAATTCCGTTTAGTGTAAAGGAAAAATAGCTGTGAAAATTATGGATCACTGAAAGTCAGTCTTGACACCAGGTGTTTAAGCAATGTCTAGTATAAAGTAAATAAAATAAAAAAAATGACAGGTATGTTACGCGTGTCGATAATTCTGAATGTGTAACTGACATTCCATTTCATTTAGAGGTTAACAGCAGCATATGTTATAGTTGGGATTAGGATGAGAAAGCCACAATAACTCGGTGCGCCTAATGGCAGGAAGAGTTGTATACTCCCCAGGGAGTTGAGATTGATAATACGATGTGCCGTTGAGATTGACATCCAATGATCGAGGGGAAAATACCAGCGCCTTGAGCATGCACTAGTTGCGTGGATACGTGCGCTATATAAATATCCTATAATAATAATAATAATAATAATAATAATTACACTTTCTTAGTAAAGTACAGATTCTAATACTTTTGCTGGGTTGAGTGTGTAGCTGACAGTACGTTTCATTTTGAGCTTCTCTTAAAATAAGGACGTCATTAGAACAGTAGACAATTCAAGATACAACATCTTATAGTTATTAGTTCCATTTGCAACATTAAAGAATAATAAAGTATATTAGAAACTATGCCATATACTTACCATGATGCTTGAGTGTGTGCTGCCTGGAGAATGTCGGTATACTGTCTGCTTCTACTGGCGTGTGTATATATACCTACCTTGACCCTGCCGTGCACGTGGGTTCCCATGTGGCAGCCCGCATCTCAGCTGTTCTTACCTCATCCCCTCATTAATTAAGGATACAGTTATTACACACATTATATCATTATACATCTGAATTGGGATGCTCGGCGGGGCTGAGCGGCAGGAATATGGATTTGGGGGTAGGGGTTGAGGTGGAGGGGTAGGTCGGATTTAAGAGGGGGGTAGGTGTAGGGGAGTGGAATGTATGGAAGGGGTCAAGATTCATCAGAACTAGAAATGAAGTGGATGAGTAAATGTTTGTTATCATAGGCTGCGTAAATTTAACATACTTCTTGTTTATTAAACAGCAGTATCAGGCACAACATAAACGTCGGCTTCTTCAGTGTAGAGGGAAAAAAGCCACACATAGGTCATATAAGATAGCTGATGCAGAGGCCCAGATAAGCTGCGTATCCGGGTAAAATACGCATCGAAAATTTCCAATTACGCATTGAAAAATAATTGTTGCGTACCAATTACGCATTTAAAATGTTAGATACGCAAAAAGTTTAAAATAAATGCGTGCGGAATATATATATATAAAAATCGCTTGCGTAATGAAAAAGACATCGATTGCTATCAAGTTGTACTGTTAGTATAGGACAAGTGTTGTACTGTCAGTATAGGATGAGTTATTTTTATGGTTGGTTTTGATTAGGTATGACATAAGGCAGGACATACTTGCTTAGTAAACCTACTCAATGACATAATACTTAGGAGAGTAAAATGACTGAAATACGCACATATTTGAAAGCAGTGGGTAACGGAAATTGAAATACCCACTCAACATTCATAACACCCACTTAAAATATACAGTGGGTACAGTACCCACATGAGCTAAATCTTATATGGAGCTCTGGCCGATGGATATCATGTTTTAAAGCAAACGTCCATTTATTGCAGAATCTAATAAAACTACGTACAGGACACAACTCATGGAGTTAACGCACACAATGGCTTGTTCTTACCAAGCGTTGTTGGTTCGTTATTTCTGTTAAGCTAAACACTGTAAATAGTTCGCGCTGCATGCTCAGTAGACTGGAATAGTGATAACTGTTTTAGAAGGTAGATAAAATGTCATTCAGAGTACAGCAGCCTACGAAATATTATTTATGTCGCATCTGACGTGCGACATGTATGTGTTTTGTAGGTGTCCTCCCATTTGCGAGAACTCCCAGTTGCGAGACACATTAATTAATGGTTCAGTGCACACAAGCGGTGCTTCCTAATCCCTACGATGAAAGTGGGGAACAGCCCTGTTGCTGAAGAGTACCCGCAGGAGGCATAGTTCATTAGTGAGACACAGAAGACATTGTTCATTGAAGAGCATTTATTGATTTCAATAAAGAACAAGTTAAATACTGAAATACTGAAAAAGATTATCATTATATTTACACAGAAGAAATAGTTCATTAAATACTTCATTATCATTTTTTTATTCACACATTTTGATGATTTGCGTTATTATGATGTTTGTGTGTCATTATAAAATAACTTTTACATGGGTCCATATTTGGAAATTTTGACACTTTTCATATTTTCAGCAGTTTGCCGACTGCATCAAGATACTGCATGTGATTTTTCGTTCCATCTGCAAGTTGATCTTTGAGTCTATGTAGGCGATTGTCTATTTCCCCTGTACACGCGTTTCCTCGATCGAGGGGCGCCTCCCAGGTCGAGTTGGCACAGCTTGGCCTTCTCTGCCTTCTGTATTTTCCTGATGATTTCCATAAACCTAAAGATGTTTGGATGGCGATGACTGAGTGTAGCATTCAATCTACTGTGAAACCCCTCAATGTTGTTGTTAGTCCTGGGGCCGAATGTAATGATGGTTCCATATGGGCAAGGGAAAAGCGAGCGTCGTCGTCCACCCAGGTTGTAGTGATGTAGTCGTTGAATGTCTGTGTAGGTACAAGTCTGCCGCTGCTTGTCCTTGTAATACAGGTGATCGTGTATTGCAGTCAGTGATCTATAGTCTGTTTGCAGTGAAAACGTATCGATGAATTTCACTTTAAATAAAAAAGTAAATCAAATAATGTGAAATTAAGATTGCGAATCCTCATAACTTTACCTTGCCAATTGAACATTAATATCTCAGAATTTTATTCAACTTAGGATAAAAGTTGTTTAACAAACGATCATAGTTTCAAATCGCTATTATTGGTGTGTAGTACAAGGGGGTATGCACATTAAATGAAACCCCGAGAACAAGAAGGGTTGGTTTCTACGGTAGTCTAAGTTAACGCTCATCACGGACCGCACGTGCATTTGTTTCACTATTCCAGCTACTGCGCGTACCCCCTTGTAATACAAACCAATAATAGAGATTTGAAACTATGATCGTTTGTTAAACAACTTTTATCCTAAGTTGAATAAAATTCTGAGATTTAAAAGTTCTGTTGGCAAGGTAAAATCATGAGGATTCGCAATCTTAATTTCACTTTATGTGATTACTTTTTAGTTTAAGGTGAAATTTATCGGTACGTTTTCACTGCAAACAGACTATAGCCTGCGACATATATGTATCCTTAATCTAACTTGTGCTATATATATTTCATCTAACGTGCGATACATATATAATATTCCAGTCCATAATCTAGCCTGCGACATATATCAGTCCTTTTTCTTACCTGCGACAAATATATGTGTATTGCAGTTTATAATGTAGTCTGAGACATATAGGGGTGCTTAACCTAAACTCAGCTACATACATGTATGTGTATAACGGTACTTCATCTGGCTTAAGATATTATTATTAGTCGTGTGTCAAGCAGTATGTTGTGCGGGGATGAACAGTGTGTAATCTACAGCCAACAACTGAACATTGGTTCTGAACATACTGGAACTTAAACCATCACATAAGCTATAACCAGTAATTTGGAATTAGTGCTTGCAACTAAGTGTCTCAGAGAGTAGCTCAATAGCCTGCAATAGCCGGCTGCATTAATATACTATCAGTTCCGCCGTTTCTCCAGACGTGTGAATGCACTCGTTTGTAATTATGAACCACGGTCGTTTTGGTCTATCAAGTATATATAATTTCCTAATTGCCTGTAGAGAACACAGGTTGCTTTGAAAGCATTTCGTGACCCTGTTTTACACTGTTTTCATATTCTGACCATATCATATCTAGCCAGGAAACGAAGATAGAAGATGAATTGAGTCACGCATGAATGCACGAGTACTTTTACTAAGTACAACCAGCTATCTGCAACGTCAGCCATGCCGACGTTAGATGATGGTAAACGGCCAGACTCAACAGGGGATATTAAAGTAGGCTACACTTCACAATAAATATGGATTGATGAAGGAAGGCTTTACAAGAATATTAGCTCTCTATACTAGAGGAATGATAACATAAAGTAGGCTACAAGAATGATAGCAGGAGTCTTCATGATCCCATAGGTTACAGAACTAAAAAGAATACTACCAGAAGACTCAACAAGAATACTAGCACTCTACACTACAGGAATGGTAACAGCAGACTTCAGTATTCTGTAGGATTGACAAAAGTAGGCTACACGATTCTACAGGAATGTTAATAGTAGGCTACAAGATTCTACGGGAATGTTACATATAGTAGGCTACAAGATTCTACAGGAATGTTACTAGTAGGCTACAAGTTTGCATAGGAATGTTAATAGTAGGCTGCAAGATTATACGGGAATAGTAACAGTAGGCTACAAGATTATACAGGAATGTTAATAGTAGGCTACAAGATTGCATAGGAATGTTAATAGTAGGCTGCAAGATTATACGGGAATAGTAATAGTAGGCTACAAGATTCTACAGGAATGTTAATAGGAGGCTACAAGATTCTACAGGAATGTTAATAGTAGGCTACAAGATTCTACAGGGAATACTTATAGTAGGCTACAAGTTTGCATAGGGAATGTTAATAGTAGGCTGCAAGATTATACGGGGATAGTAACAGTAGGCTGCAAGATTCTACAGGAATGTTAATAGGAGGCTACAAGATTCTACAGGAATGTTAACAGTAGGCTACAAGATTCTACAGGAATAATAATAGTAGGCTACAAGTTTGCATAGGAATGTTAATAGTAGGCTGCAAGATTATACGGGAATAGTAACAGTAGGCTACAAGATTCTACAGGAATGTTAATAGGTGGCTACAAGATTCTACAGGAATGTTAATAGTAGGCTACAAGATTCTACAGGAATAATAAAAGTAGGCTACAAGTTTGCATAGGAATGTTAATAGTAGGCTGCAAGATTATACGGGAATAGTAACAGTAGGCTACAAGATTCTACAGGAATGTTAATAGGAGGCTACAAGATTCTACAGGAATGTTAATAGTAGGCTACAAGATTCTACAGGAATAATAATAGTAGGCTACAAGTTTGCATAGGAATGTTAATAGTAGGCTGCAAGATTATACAGGGGAATAGTAACAGTAGGCTACAAGATTCTTCAGGAATGTTAATAGGAGGCTACAAGATTCTACAGGAATGTTAACAGTAGGCTACAAGATTCTACAGGAATAATAATAGTAGGCGACAAGTTTGCATAGGAATGTTAATAGTAGGCTGCAAGATTATGCGGGAATAGTAACAGTAGGCTACAAGATTCTTCAGGAATGTTAATAGGTGGCTACAAGATTCTACAGGAATGTTAATAGTAGGCTACAAGATTCTACAGGAAAAATAATAGTAGACTACAAGTTTGCATAGGAATGTTAATAGTAGGCTACAAGATTATACAGAGAATAGTAACAGTAGGCTACAAGATTCTACAGGAATGTTAATAGTAGGCTACACGATTCTACAGAATTTTAATAGTAGGCTACAAGATTATACAGGAATAGTAATAGTAGGCTACACGATTCTACAGGAATGTTAATAGTAGCCTACAAAATTCTACAGGAATGTTAATAGGAGGCTATAAGATTATACGGGAATAGTAATAGCAGGCTACAAGATTCTACAGGAGTGTTTATAGTAGGCATAGCAGGCTACAAGATTATACAGGAATAGTAATAGCAGGCTACAAGGTTCTAC